AAGGAAGGAAGGAAGGAAAGAAGGAGGGAAAGAAAGAGGAGAGAAGGAAATGAGGGAAAGGGAAAGAAGGACAGAAGGGAAGGAGGGCTGCTTCTTGTTCCTCGTGGACCGGGGCTGCTGGGAGCAGGGTGTGGGGCTTGTTGCATGTGCCTGCCCCCTGGGCTCTTTACTGCCGGAGCTCCGCTCCTGCAGGAAATGACCCCTGGGTGTCATTGAGATGTAACTCAGGATGCCACCTTTTTTTTAAAGCTATTTTTATGCTTTGCTTCTAGCTGATAAGACTGTTTTATGGATATTATTTCTGGCTGTTTTATGTCTGTTTTTATGACTTGTTTTGATGTTGACTGGTTTTGTAATGGTTTGATTTTTTAAAAACTCTATGCGCTGACTGAAGGAGGCCTTTGAAGAGGCGGCACATATGTAATAATATACATAAATAATACATCCAGGAGGTGGGCCACTCTGTATGTGTTCTGAGGCTATCCAGTTTTTTTAAAAACAAAATTTACTTCATGCTAGTGAACTCTAGCAACCATAGATTCAGGTGAACAAAGTTTAAGTCCAGTGGCACCTTTAAGACCAACGAAGTTTTATTCAAGGTATAAGTTTTGGTGTGCGCGCACACTTCTTCAGATACATTGAAATGGAAGTTAACAGTCCATACATGTAGGTAGAGGGTGAGCAGCAAATGAGCATACGACATAATAAAGATGTTTAACAGATTCAAGGACCGAACAAGAATAACAAGCTCAGTTTATATGGTTACCAATTGTTTGGGTTTAATTCCGGGGGGGAAACATAGTGAAGGAAATAAATATATCAGCATTGGAGATTGATGGGCAGATGTACCCTTCTTATTTGTAGAATGCTGAGAGTAATTAACTGAGACCCTGCCTTTACGCTCTACCCGTTTCCTCTCAAGCGTGTGGTGACCTTACAGCATCCTCTTCTTTGAGTGTAAAATATTGGTGTATCACCTCTAGATAAAAACTAGAGAGAGACATTCCAATCTACCATTCCAAATTACATTACAGTCTACTATTCATTACATTACAATCTACTATTCCAATTAAGAAATAAAATAAAGAGGATGTATAGTCCTTCTGGGTGATTGGTGAGAATACAACAGCAACAACAGTAACAGATAGCAGGGACATTAGTTCCTAGAGCTCTGCTGTCCCTCAGTTCAAGCCCGTTCCCTGAGAGGTACTCACTGAGGTATCCTCCTTGTAACTGAACAATTCCAGTTTTTAAAAAAGCTGGTTTAATGGGCTGCTTCCAGTCTGAGGGGCTGTTTTGTGTTTGTTCTTCAGGCTTTTAAAAACATTGGCCATTTTATGGTAGTGTTTTTACTTTTTTTTTACAAGTTCCAGCTCCTGCCAACCTAGCAGTTTGAAAGCAAGAAATTGCAAGTAGATAAATAGGTACCGCTTCGGTGGGAAGGTAACAGCGTTCCGTGTGCCTTGGTGTTTAGTCATGCCGGCCACATGACCACGGAAACGTCTTCGGACAGCGCTGGCTCTTCGGCTTTGAAACGGAGATGAGCACCGCAACCCTAGAGTCGGACTTGACTGGCTTTCGAGCGAGGGAACCTTTACCTTTTTTTTTTTACTTTAAAAAAAAAGATTCTGTGAGCCTCCTCCAGCAGGGCTCTTGAGAGGCAGCAGAAACCTTTTCCAAATAATAAATCAAGTGCGTTGGTACACCTTGAACATGCTCTGAGACAATCCAAATTGTTTTACGAGTAAGAGGTGGGAACAATAATAATAATAATTAATAACAATGGGAATGTTATTTCCCAGCAGGGGAAGTGAAAATGGTCCAGGAGCAGATAGGGTTGCCAGCTCCAGGTTTGGAAATACCTAGAGATTTTGAGACCAGAGAGCAGGAATTAGGGAGGGGAGGGACTTCAGTGTGGTATGATGCCATGGAGACCCCCTTCCAAAGCAGCTATTTTCTCCAGGTGAAGCGGTCTGTCATGTGTAGATGTTGTAATCCCAGAAAATATCCAGTCACCACCTGGAGGTTGGCAACTCCAGGAGCAGCAGGTCAACCTGAACCGGCCCTGTGGTGTTACAACCCAGCACTGCATGACCTGCTCAGGTCAGCAGTGCCAGACCAGGTCCACGGCTTGCCCACTGCCTCCTCCTGCAGCCTTTAAAGTTTTTAAATCAGCTGGAAAAATATCTTTCCAGCTAAAGAAACGGTTTGAAACCTCTGCTTTGTGTGACTATTTATAGACACTGCTGAGATCCTAGAGTAACGTTATTAAAAGTGAACAAGAACCAAAAAACATAAATGATATACATAAACAATAACCACAAATATTCGACAATTTGAGAGCAAGAAGATACAGGCAGCTGGTTAATGTGCTGGCAGAGTTATTCGGGGTTGGTTCTGCTTCTTCCTGGCTGCTGCCACTGACCCTCTGAGGGCAGCAGCTCACTGGGAAATTTCCCTGGAAGTTAAACCTAAGGTTGCCAACTCTGGATTGGGGGATCCCTGGAGATCTGGACATAGCGCCTGGGGAGAGAGCTCAGCAGAGATGTGATGCCACAGAGTCCACCCCACTCTCTACCAAGTTGTCACTTTCTCTAGGCGATCTCACAGAATCATAAAAGTTGTAAGGAACCTCCAGGGGCATCTAGTCCAACTCCCTGCACAATGCAGGAAATTCACAAATACCTCCCCTCACACACACACCCAGTGACCCCTGCTCCATGCCCAAGAAGATGGCAGAAATCCTCCAGGATCCCTGGCCAAACTGGCCTGGAGAAAAATTGCTGCCTGACCCCAGTGGTGATTAGCATTTCTCTGGGCATGTGAGAAAGGGCCACAAGAACGAAGCATTGAGGCAACGCTTCCTGCCCTTCTTCTCACGATCTGCCTAAGTTCACATCTAGCCTCTGCTAAAAAACCTCCAAAGAAGGTGAAAAGTATGCAGACGGAGAGTGATTTCAGTTAAGCATACTTTTATTAGTCAGGAACAAGAGGAAGCTGGCCGGCTCGCAGGCCGGCTTATATTCCCTCAGGACCCACCACCATAACACACCCCCACTTCCCTATAGGCTATTCACAGTAACCGAGAGGCCTATTGGCCTCACGGTCTGGGACCTAGCCCTCTGATTGGGCCGGTCTAGGATCCTACTGACCCATTGTCTTTAGGCGCGAAACTTGAGGTTTTGTCCCTGGGCAAGTCCGGAAATGCCCGGACCTGTCAGGGCTGGATACACTACAGAAGGAGAGCCCACCACCTCCTGAGGAAGCCTCTTCTGCCGAGGAACTGCTCTAGTTGTCGGGAAGTTCTTCCTAATATTTAGCCAGAAACTCTTTTGATTTAATTTCAACCCCTTGGTTCTGGTCTAACCTTCTGGGGCAACAGAAAACAGCTCCACACCATCCTCTATGACAGCCCTCCAAGTACTTCAAGTCCTATCTCTTCTCCAGGCTAAACATAACCGGTTCCCCAGGCCCGTAGCTACAGTGGGGCATTTCAGGGCCTGGCGCCCCGACTTCCTGCCAAGGCCCCCTGACTTCCATCCAGCCCCCAGGTCCCCCAGCTCTCTGGGCCACCCAGAGGACTCCTGATTCTCTGGGCCACTTGGAGCACTCCCCACCGCCGTCCCTTCCCCAAGTGCGGCTTGCCTCCCTGCGTAGGCAGGCAGAGTGCGAATGCTGAAAAGTGAGTTTTAAACAATTTTGTGATGTGCCTCCCCAAATTATTTAAAGCCTCCCCCAATTACAAAATGGCACTGAGCACTTTGTTTATTTTAAGATCTAATTTAAGATTTTAATATGTAGTATATGTTTTAAATTGTTATGTATATGATTGTTTTACCATGGCAAGTGTTCTTGCCTCTGTAAGCCGCCCTGAGCCCACGGGGGAGGGCGGGGTATAAGTACGAAAAATAATAAATAAATAAATAAAATCCTGGCTACGGGCCTGCGGCTCCTTCTACCTTTCCTCATAGGACTTGGTCTCCAGACCCCTCACCATTTCCCCTGCCCTCCTCTGGACACATTCCATAGGGTCGCCAACCTCCAGGTGAGGCCTGGGGAGCTCCTGCTATTACATCTGGGTCAGTTCCCCTGGAGAGAAAAATGGCTGCTTTGGAGGGTGGGTTCTGTGGCACTGTGCCCTGCTGAGGTCCCTGCCCTCCCCAGGCTCCCCACAACTCTGGGTATTTCCCAACCCAGCGCTGGCAACCCTAAGTGGCGCCCAAAACTGAACACAATACTCTAGTTAGGTGACGTCTAACCCAGAGCAGAGCCATAACATCACTTTGCATGACCTGGACACGACACTTCTGTCGAGACAGCCCAAAATCTGGCTAGAAACGAGCTGTAATCAATGCTTCCTCTAAGCTGTGGAGTCTTGTGAGCAAAAATTCTACTTTGTGAGCTACTGGCATTAAAGTTGTGAGCGAGCGACTTGGCTGCTGCATAAATCAGTTTGCTCTGGTGCCATCCTTTCTGAGCTAAGACAAAAATGTGTGAGCCAGAGGCTAAAAAACTGTGAGCTAGCTCACACTAACTCAGCTTAGAGGGAACACTGGCTGTAATCCCCGGAGAACTCCTCTGGGCCTCGCACCTGGAGGCTGGCCAGCCCACACATTTCCCAGGTTTTCTCAACCCAACCCCTTCCCCTCCAGAGGCGCTCCCTAAAGCCCTCCCCTCCAGAGGCGCCCTAACCGAAGCCCTCGCGGCAGGGCGGAGCAGGAGCAGCAGGAGCAGGCCCAGGCGGGTCGAGCGAGCGAGCGCCGTCCCCCCCCCCCTTTTCTCCTTTGCCGCCCCCCCCCCCCCCGTTTGGAACTTTGCTGCCTGTAACGTTCTGAAGCCGACCGCGGGGAC